AGGGAAAGAAAGCAGAGCTGGGGAAAGCAGCATTTCTGCTGGAAAATTCCCATTCGTTCCGTAAGGGAGCAGAGCACGACCTTTCCGCCGGGAGCCGGGAGCCTGCCAGGCAACGCTGGGAAAGGGCCGGCTCCCTGACAGCAGCGTTGCCCTCAAAACATGGGGAGCTGCTGCTTGGGGCACCCAGGAATCGCCGATGCCTTCTGATCCAGAATGAAATTACATGCAAAATCCTAAATTTTCCCTGAAAGGAAAATTTGCTCCTAGCCCCTAGGGAAGGAGCCAGCCCCAAAGCAAGGTGGGGGCTCGATGTCACCTCTCCCATCTCCCAGGCTGGTGCTCGGGCTGTGTTTCGATGGGAATTGTGTTGGGTTTTGGCAAATCGCTTATCCCGCACAACCCGCGCTGAAGAAGCCTTGCAAAATGTGCACATTTCCTTTGCAAGAAGAGTTTTCTCTACCCAGAGGTGAGAATGATAGCGCAAACAGTGCAGGGAAAACTGGCTTTAGGGAGGCTTTAATTCCCTGCCATGAGCAATGCTGCTCCGGGGGCCACAGGCTGCGTCCGGGGGGATGCTCCAGGGCACGGACACAAAGGGGCCGGAGCCGTGATCCGCGTCCGCTCACCTTTTGCAGCGCTAACCGTGAAGTTTCTCACCAAGAGGTTCATAAGTGAATATGACCCGGACTTGGGTAAGTTTTTCTCTTGCTCTTTTTTTAATGTTCATTTCCCCCGATTTTCCATGTCCGCCCTCCCCGTGTCCCTGCTCTGTCCCAGCCTGGTGTGAGCCAAGCGCTCGGTGCCGCTCCCCTTTCTGTCTGGCAAAGCATCCCTGCTCCGCGTGGACGGCACCTTCCCCGTCTCCCGGTTTTCCCACAGATATGGCATTTCAGAGGGAAAAAAACATCCTTGGAAAACAGAAAATAGACTGGGAATATGAACAGAGCGGGCCCAGAGCAGCCTGGAAAGCCAGAGCTTGGGAGAAGGGAGGCCCGATCAGCGGCATGGGAGCGAGTGGCTCGTCCTGGCCACAATGTCCCCAGGGCCGCCCCTCACCCAGGGGGTTTAGGGACACTTTTTTATTTTTTCCACTTGGGTTTCATTTGAGTAATTGGTAACTGTTTTCCTAGGCCTTGTTCCCGCAGGCAGCGCTGTCCGTGATTTATCAGGGGTGATAGCAAGATATGGAGCTTGTCCAGGACCTGGCTGCAGCCCCTAAGGGCTCCAGCGACTTGTACTCTTTAAAAAAAAACAAAAAAAAAAAAGGAGGAAAAAAGGAAAAATCCTTTCCACAGATGTCATTTGTTTTTTTTTTTTTTTGAATGTGGTTACAAAGGCAGTGATGGCCCTGCTGTCTTCCCACGGAAAAACCTCTCTCTGATGCACAGTTAAGGACGTAGCCGTAGGGGACGGATGGTGCCGGCAGCTCCCGGCTCATGGCACCGCGTTCAGAGCTATGCGGGGAACACAATTCCCGAAGGAAAGGGGGAATAATTATGCAGTGGGAGAAGGGTCAAGGCTTTTCCCAAGGGTCTTTTCCCCACCTTTCCAAAAGGCCTAAGCAGCCGGCGCTCCGCTTCTCCTTGCAGAGGACACGTACACATCGGAGGAGCTGGTGGACCAGCAGCCGGTGCTGCTGAAGGTCATGGACACGGCCGACCAGGTGAGCAAAAACCCCGCTCGAATCGGGGCGAATCGGCTCTTCCCGGAGGGGTAAATCCTCATTCCGGGGCCGTATCACCCAAACGTGACCCGAGGCTTTCGCGGCGCCCAGGACGGCCCCGTGAACTGCGAGCGCTACCTGCGCTGGGCCAGCGCCTTCCTCGTGGTCTACAGCATCGAGGACAAGCGGAGCTTCGCCGGCTGCCGCCGCTACCTGGACGTGCTGGCCGCGCACGGCGGGGGCCGCGCGCGCGCCCGCCCCGTGCTCCTGCTGGGCAACAAGCTGGACATGGAGCCCTACAGGTAACGCCCGGGGGTGCTGAAACATTGCGGGGTTTGATGAATTATAGCAGCAGGGTGGGCTTTTGCCATGCGCAACCAGCGTCCAGTTCTGCTTGTTGCATCCTTGCTGCATTTTTGCTGCATCCTTGGTTTATCTTTGTTGCACCCTTACTGTAATCTTGTAGCATCCTCGTTGCATCCTTGCTGCACCCCTGGTTTATCCGTGTTTTATCCTTGCTGCATCCTTGCCACACTCTTGCTGCATCCTTGCTGTATTCTGGCTGCCTCCTTGTTGCATCCTTGCTGCATCCCTGATTTATCCTTGTTGCATCCTCGCCGCATCCTTGCCACATTCTTGTCACATCTTTGCTGCATCCTTGCTGTATTCTGGCTCCCTCTTCGTTGCATCCTTGCTTTTCCCAGATTTATCCTTGCTGCATCCTTTTTGGCATCCTTGCTGCAACCTTTTTGCATCCTCACTGCATCCTTGCTGCATCCTCATGGGCCCAGCTGAGCATGCCAGGTTCCCGCTGAGCCCTCCCTGCCCCTCTGGCTGCAGTGCATGGCTCAAAGCTTTGGGGTTGTTTCCAAAGTTTTGGGGTTGTTTCCATCTGCTTGGGGTGTGGATGTGGCCCTGCGGTCCTTGTCCCCCACTGCCTGTGGGCTGAAGACATGCGCAGATCCCACAGTTCTTTCCCATGGGAAACACGTGGGCTGCAGTGGGGGCCTCCACGGCGCAAAAATGCAAAGCAAAAAGTTCCACAGGAACTTAAGGAAAATTTTTTTAACAGTGAGGGTGCCAGAGCACTGGAACAGGCTGCCCAGAGAGGTTGTGGAGTCTCCTTCTCTGGAGATCTTCAAAACTCACTTGGACGCAGTCCTGTGCCACGTGCTCTAGGTGACCCTGTGTGTGTAGGGGGGTTGGACTGGATGATCTCTAGAGGTCACTGCCAACCTTCAGCATTCTATGATTCTATGAAAAAAAGCCAAAAAACCAAACCAAACCAAGCGCGTTGCATCGCTCCGTCTCGCCAGGCAGGTGACCAAGGCGGAGGGGCTGTCGCTGGCGGCCGCCTTCGGCTGCGCCTTCTTCGAGGTGTCGGCGTGCCTGGGCTTCGAGGCGGT